CCTGACCACCATCAAGACCAGCGCCGAGCTGCGCAAGATTGGGGTCAACGTGTTTGGCATGGCCTCACGCAAGGAATCGATCATCCTGCAGCTCAAGGTGGGGGTGGATGGGTGTGTGGGTGTGGGTGTGGTGTGTGGTGTGGGTGTGGGGGGGGGGTGCGGCCCCGGAGGAGGCTCTGTGGGCAGCAGACAAAACTGGGGCAGGGCCCTCCATGCAGAGCAGGCGGTCGACGTTGCTAAGGTTGCGAAGGTGGCAGTGGAGGGTGGGGGGTGCAGTTTTGCCCGGGTCTGTCCTTCTCACTGAGCCACCCGCCACCCACCGCCGCCGCCGCGCAACTCCCCCACCCGCCGCCGCCGCCTCCGCAGGGCCTGGCCAGCCAGCTGGGCGGGCAGCGGCTGGGCGCGGCGCAGGTGGCGGCGGCGCTGCTGGGGCAGCGGTGCTGGGTCAAGTGGCCCTACCTGCAGGAGGCGGTGGTGGAGGCGGTCAGCGACTCGGGTGCGCTTTCCACCTGCCTTGGCGCCACACTTTCCACCTGCCTTGCCGCCGCGCTGTCCACCTGCCGTGCTGCAGCACAGGCGCCGCAGCGTGGCAGGCAGCAGCACAGGCTCAGGCTGGGAATGAATCCTCTCCCCGCGCACCTACCGTCACGCCTGCCCCGCTCTGTCCTCCGCTGCCGTGACGCTGCAGGCGCCAAGGTGGCGCGCGGGGCTGGCGGGCAGCAGGAGGCGCGGGCGCACGGCGCCGCCGAGGCGTCTGAGTGGCAGCAGGAGCGGCAGCGCATACAGCAGGAGTATCTGAACAAGCAGGTGGGCTGGGTGTGTGTGTGTGTGTGTGTGTGTATGCGCGCGTGTATGGCACCGGCTGCGGCCAGCAGGCCCAGCCTGTGTGTGTGCTCGCCGTCCTGCCAAGAGCTGGTTTGGCCTGCGGGGCTGCCGCGCTGCTTTAGGGGAAGGTGCTGCCCTGCTGCAAGCCTGGAGATGCCTCCCCACGCCTGCCATCCCCGCCTGCTCGCCTCACCCGGGCCTGCCACCCCGCCTGCCCGCCCGCCTGCCCTGCCCGCAGGGCGTGGACTGCGGCGAGGTCACCCTGCTGGTGCATGTGCGCCCCTGCGAGGGCCTGGTGCGGCAGGTGAGGCGCCTGTGCTGTGTGTGTGGGGTGTGTGGGGGCAGGAGGGGAGATGGGGCGGGGCGCGGCGTGCACGGCGCATGCGTGGCTGCCGGCGCAGCACGTGCCTCCTCGCCGGCGGGGAGATGCCGCCACGCGCTGCCCCCCAAACACCCACACCTCCTT